TGAATTTTCACCGAGCGTGTCATCAGGATATAAGATATCGGAAAGACCGACACAGATCATTTACCTTCCGATCATCGTACGGAGCATTACAGATCTGACGATTCGTGTTGTGGATCAAGAGGGACGATTGCTCAATTTTCGCGGAGAGGAGATCACCGTTAGATTGCATATACGGAGACAACGATAAAGTGATATGCTTGTTTTGTACGAGCAGGTGAAACAAACTAGAGATATCTTTACCAGAGGGACGGCAGCGATCAAAAACATTCGATCTTCTAGTAGAAAGAAACTCACTGCATCAAACGTTAAGTTTTTACAATTCTTGGGCTTTATCGTACGAAGTATCTGAGATGGCCGACATCTTGAATATTGGAAGAGAGCCAATCTTTGACGACCGCATCATCAGGATTGAAACTCGCACATACAATCCATACGTCAACACCACGTTTGGACATAGCGATGAGATAAGGATACCCATACAGCAGCAAGATTTATACACGCTACCGTGTGAAAGTTTTCTCAACATCGAAGGAAGATTGACGTCAAAAGAAGAAAAATCAGATCAGCAGCCAACGCTTGGAATTAATTGCGTGTCGTTCATGTTTGATGAAATTCGATATGAACTCAATGGTACTGAGATCGATCGTAACAGAAACGTTGGAATGACTAGTCTTATGAAGGGCTATGCATCGTATTCAGGTGACTTCGCACATTATATGGAGAATGCCGGATTTCCACATCCGATGTTTGTTGAGACCGTGAAAAGACTAATAACACGTGATGGATACTTTAATTTTTACATACCGTTGGGCATGTTGTTTGGCTTTTGCGAGGATTACAACATGTAGTGATTAACGCGCGTCACGAATTGATTTTGATACGAGCGCGCAACGACAACAATTGCATTGTGGGAGATCCAGTGACACAGCCGAAACTTGAATTGTTTAAGATACAGTGGCGTATGCCTCACGTTACGTTGAACGAAGTCAATAAACTATCCATGCTGCGTACCTTGGAAAGCGGACGATATCTGAGTATGAGTTTTCGTTCATGGGATCTGTACGAGTATCCTCTATTGTCGAGCACGACGAAGCACTCGTGGGCTATTAAAACGGCTATTCAGTTCGAGAAGCCGCGATACGTCATCTTTGCTTTGCAGACTAATAGAAAAAATAACATTGCGACACATAAAACTTACCTCGACAATTGTAAATTAACCAATGTGAAACTCTATCTGAACTCTGAATTTTTTCCATACGATGATCTGAATCTGGACTTCGACAAACGTAGAACCGCTATTTTATATGATATGTTTGTACGTTTCCGTGCATCTTACTATCAAATTTCAAAAGAAAGTAGTGAAACGTTATTCAAGACAGATTCGTTTAGGAATTTCTTTCCTCTAGTGATTACTAGACAGTCAATGATTATTGACTGCTCGCGACAAAACGAGTCCGTCAAGAGTGGCACCGTGGATGTGCGATTAGAATTTGAATTCAAAGAAAATGTATCGGCGAATACTACTGCCTATTGTCTTATCATTCATGACCGCGTGATTGAATACAGTCCATTGTCCAACGTAGTACGCAAGATTAAATAGAAGTACGTAAATTATCGTCACCAAAAGAAAAATAACCTCTCCCCTCTTTTCAATATAATGGATAAAAAGCCAAAATTTTTACACTCGAACACAGTCTCGAAAAGTCATTCACCATGACTATACCAACGTTCGTGGATCTGCAAGGATTTATCGTTGGAAAGAAATTTATCGTGAAGGAAGTGGCGGTGTTGAGAAAAGGAGCTATTCTCTCTCATTATATTTTTACATGTCCCATGTCATGGAATTTCTTGACAAAATCCGAAAAGTATTGCGCTTCCTGGCTGAGTGCTTATCACCATGGATTGCAATGGGAAGATGGGATGATACCGTACAACATGGTGAAACGCCTGATTACGATGGCTGTAATTGGTGCGGAAGAGAATGACGACAATAAGTCTCTTGTATACGTTAAAGGACGTGAAAAACGTCAATGGCTTGCTGATATACTCGACAGCGACGACATGACCATTGAGACCA